AAGCTAATTTTGCTGCTCGCCGTCAGAAACAAATAGAAAAAGAATTGACTCAAATAAAAGAAGCATCGCCAATTGGTAGTATCAATAAAAAGAAGGATGATTCGGAACATGAAAGTGCTTCGGTTGAAAAATCCGAATCAAGTAGTATATATTCTGAATCCATCAAATCCAACGAGGCAAGCATTATTGAGAAAGGCCATGGCAAGCATAGGAAAACAACGGTGCTTGATTTTTCTGAAGTTAATGGAACCTACTTCCTGCCCTATGAGTTCTGTGCCGTAGAAATTGACAAGCCTCAAGGACAAGAACAAGTAGCCGAACAAAGTTCGACTGACATGGATCTTCAAAGCAATGATGCACAGAATCAAGAAAAAGATGATGACAAGGTGTTGGGGAGCCATCCAAAGACGAAGCAAGATGTTCTTCAAGTGGCACCACCATCATGCTCTCCCAACATATTTGAAGAGGTATGCATAGCGGGTAATTTACCTATTTTCAGATTTGGTCACAACTTTATTGTTGATGCATCTATTAGAAAAATCCTCATAGGTAATTTTGAAAGACCAATGAAGAAGGGTAATTTACTTGTTAGCAATAAAATTGTTTTAGAACATATTGGTCAACCAATTGTGCCATTTATAAAGACCGATAATGACTTATTATTGCAGCCAAAGCTTTCCCCGTTGCTTTATCTAAAGTTCATATCTATTTGGGTAACTTTGCTTATTTCATACTTGGCTTGCACTTGGTCTCAATTGAGACATGTATGTTCTAACTATTTTTATTTTAGAAATTTAAAGCCAAGGTTAAATTCTGTTGAGAAAACTGATGCTACTATAATATCTTACCCAAAGACATCGGAGATAGAGTGCAAAACACAATGCATAGCCGAATGGTGTGATGCAAAATCTGAATCATTCGTTTGCTTAACTCCAAAGCCGTTCTCACAACAAGATTGGCTAGAGAATGAAAAGTTTACCTTCAATTCAAGCATGTGTGATCAAATATTTGATTTGTTGTTGCAAAATAATTATATTAGAATTCTTGATCACCATGTTGAACCATCTATCCAGGGACGAATGTATTGTAAGTTGCATGATTCGTCCAAGCATAATTTTGAGGATTGCAACATGTTTCGTCAAATAGTTAAATCGGCCATTGATAAAGGACGATTGAAATTTGTTGAGACACCAAGAGATGACCAGTCTATTCCGATTGGTCCCGATGGTAGAAAGTTTTTGCATCGGCTGATTCAAGCCGATCCATTTGAAAAGAAGGTAAAAACTACAGGTGATGGGATCAAGCTTTCAAGTAAATAAGTTGTTGAAGAGCATAATGAACATAATCTTGAGGGCAAGAATTCCATTGAAGCTACAATGGAGACGCTAAGAACTGGGGGGCAACAAGCAAATGCAATGATCGATGAAAGCAAACCAGAAGAAAACAAAGGCCGAAATAAGCGCAAGTGTAAGAGATCAAAAGTCACCTTCGCTGAACTATTGGATAAATATCAAAAGAAGAGTGAAGATAAGAATGCTTATCGTCCAAATCATGCAAAGAAACCAAGGTCACCCCCAAGGCGCAAATATGAGGATCGGTATTGGCAAAGTGATAATTTTAATGAAACATATTCATATCCTTATTTTGGGCCGCCAATGCCAATGCCGTGGATGCCTCCCTATGCTCATATAGATACATATTCATCATGGGACAGGTATGATACAAGGGCACATTCTCTATCTTATTCTAGACCATCTCACCAATACTATGCAGCTCCAAGAAGATCAACATTTGAACAATCACGCTTCAAAGACCGTTCCAATCATAAGGAATCGGTCCAGAGCTCAAGGAAGAAGAAAGAGGTGGTCAAGCAGGTTTACCGCATTAAGAGAGATGGTCATAAGAGTGCAATTTCAGATTTGATCTCAAATGAAAAAGAGCCAATTAAAGTGTTGACATTGGCTACTAAAGGCAATGAGACAAAGCAACCAATTATTGAGAATCGAAGTGCCAAATCTGAAGAAAAGAATTTGAGAGTGCACAAGGCCAAAAAGGAATTGCCATTGGTCAAAATAGAATCACAGGTGAGATGCCCGCTTGGCTTATCGTATTGGCAAAAAAAGAAATTACAAAAACTTAGTGCACAAGAACTTGAAGAAAGGAACATGGCATGGGTTCCCAAAGGAAGTGCTCAAAATAAGAATTATGTGCAAGCTTCCATTACAAGAAGTGCGGCAAAGGTGAAGAAGGAAAAGTGTGAAAACTACGAAGGACCAAGCCGAAGGTTTCAACATCTTTGGTCTACACATTATCCATATTCTGCAACTATGCCATTAATGCCCATGCCATGGAATTTGTCATCAGGTATGATTGGAAACCCTCAATGGGCTTATTTTAATCCATGGATGCAATATAATTTCTTACATCATGAAAGGGTATTGCCAAATCACTATACATTTGATTAGCTACAAGTTTGTTGCTGATCCAAAGGGCCGAAATACTTGATTTGTCATTTCGTTTGTTTATTTCGGCTATATGTGCTTCGAATGAAGTTTACATGGTAATGGCCGATATTTATTTGTCGTCCTAAGATTATGTCAATGCATGGTCAGTGTGGTATCCAAACATCGTCCTTAGTTCAATAGGAGACCAAAACAAGCCTCATACAACTTAAAATATGTTTGCACAATAATAAAAGCCGAATATGAAAATTTATTCGGTTTGGAGCTTTTGGTTGCTGTAGGTGCTATACAGATTGAGGCTTTCAGTGATTCGTTATAAGTAGTGCAACAAATATACAAGGGTTATCAATGTTTTGACGAATCACTTATAGTTTATCTTGGGATATGTCTAGATGCAAAATTTACCTTGGGTTGCTTTAATATCCTTCATATATCTAGACATGACAATTCGAAAGAGTTGGCACAGCAAGCATCCGGCTACTATGTTAACCATTGTGTATTGTATTATTTCTATCAATAGCTGATGCTAGGTCTTGTCAACATAGGTAAGGCCGAACCGAAGCCAACCGCTTCGGCCACTAATGAAACTTTTATGCAGGCGAAGTAAGGATTGGAGAAAATTTATTATTGATTATCAGCAAAATCCTAGCAAAAGGGTGAATAATATGGTTCCGAGGATGACCTTGAGATACATATCTATGGGACTTTATCATCGAATTGTTAAGGAAGTTGAGAAAGTTTCACCCAAGCTTGCGTCAAAATATTCACACAAGCAATGGCCGATATAAACCTATCGTCCTAAGAATATGCCAAAATGGCCGATGGAGTGTTGACATCGTCTTTAGAGCAAGCTATGTGCAAGTTATTTTTCGGCACACAGGCTTTGCCGAAAAACAGGGGGGCATGTGTTGACACCAGATTTTGGCACAGTCAAGAACTTATTTAAAATGGCCTCAAATGGAGAAGTGTTCTACATGAAAAAGTTTCATATTGTCGATACGAACATCTTTGAAGTTTGGGCATCACCATCTGATCTCATCTCGAAGGCCTAAGTTGTGTTCGAAATACTGAGATTTTGTATTGAGAACACTATTCGGCACATTACGCCCCCAAGACTCCTCGTATGGAAAAATGATCTACATGGATTGTCTTCGTCTCGTCGAAAAAATCGATTTTGATATAAGAAACATTCCAATCCGAGTTCGTATGCAAAAGTTAGAGCCATCCGAATACAGCACTATCACGAGCCAAAAGTGGCGCGCCCCACCAGACACCATGTCTGATGGGTACCGCGAATAACAGCCTGTGTTGCACGAGCGATTTGACCCTCAAAATGAACTCTAATCAAAAAATGTTCAACATAAAAGTTGTTCGTATCGTCGAAACGGTCAAGATTGCTTTTGGGCTCGTTTCCATCCGAAGTCGTTTACCACCTCAAAAATTACCCGCAAGGTGCAGCCAGTTTAAACCGAACAGTTTTGAAAAGTTCGGACAAAACCAATCTGAATTTGACTAGGGTTTTGGACGTGAATCCAAGCCTTTTCCTTGCACGGGAAGTCCAACCGCCTCTTATATACCTGAGGGGTGATGGCCGATTGAACAACACACAATCGATCAATCAATCTACCACTTTTTATCTTTTATCTTTTCTCTTTAACCCTAGTTCTTCTTCTTCCTCGTTCTTCGTTCGTTCTTCTTCATTGCAGGGCGGCGAACCTCGAGGCCCTAGGGGCGATCAGGTCGACCTAGGGCAGCCCATAGCCGTCGCGCGCCCAGACGGGGTCCCTCCCGGGCGTGTGGGGTTTCGGGTCCCAAAAGCGCCGGCTTGCTGTCTTGCGTATCGCGCTGGAAGTCGGCCTCCCGCGGTGTGAGTTGCGGAGCATCTCCCTCGGCGCCGCGGGTACACATCGACGTGTTCGTGTGACGCGTTCCAGCGTCAACACTCGCCAGACCTTCAATCGCTTTATTACTCTCCCAATAAGATGAATAAAACTGTCACTTAGCATGTCAATTCTTCATAGAGAAAACATGTTCTTTTGAAAAACTGTCATCATTTGATCTCGATCAAACAGCTGCGAGGCGTTCGCCGTGAATTTCTTCCCAAAGAACCTTTGCTGACTAGCATTATACTCCCTCCATCCCGAAATGCTTGTCGAAGGAATGGATATATCTAGATATATTTTAGTTTTAGATACATTCATTTTTATGCATTTCTTCTACGAGCGGACGGAGAGAGTACTACCGAGGAAAGAAAAGCATCTGCGTCGCCTTCCTCCCAAAACCCAAATCGAACTCGCGGCGATCTCTCGCCTTCCCAAACCAACAGACTCTGTACGGTCTTCTCGCTCTCGCGCCCCTCCCACAGTTTGTAGCGTGGCTGGCAGCAGCAGGGTGCCTCGCCGGCAGCTCTAATCTTGGCACTGAGCTGTGCCTCCAACGTGTTTGAGTGAATGCGCAGGTGGACGCGCTTGCTTTCTTCCACGCACTAGATCTTGTGAATTTTCCGTCTCCACCTGATTTTGAGATTCACCGCTGACCATGGCTGACGCCTCCGCCGGCGGCGGTTCCCTGGATGAATACCCAACCATCGACCCAACCTCTTTCGACGTGGTCCTCTGCGGCACCGGCCTCCCGGAGTCCATCCTCGCCGCTGCCTGCGCGGCCGCCGGGAAGACCGTCCTCCACGTCGACCCCGACCCCTTCTACGGCTCCTTCTACTCCTCCATCCCGCTCCCTTCCGTCCCTTCCTTCCTCTCCGCCGACTCCTCCACCCCCTGCCCGTCCTCCCCAACCACAACCTCCTCCGCCACCGCTGAATACACCGCCGTCGATCTCGAGCGCCGCAGTCTGTACTCGGAGGTTGAGACCTCGGGGACGGTTCCCGAACCGTCCAGGCGCTTCACGGTCGACCTGGTGGGTCCCAGGGTGCTGTACTGCGCCGACGAGGCCGTGGACCTTCTTCTGAGGTCAGGAGGAAGCCACCATGTGGAGTTCAAGAGCGTGGAAGGGGGCAGCCTCATCTACTGGGATGGTGCGCTCTGCCCGGTGCCAGACTCTAGGCAGGCCATCTTCATGGACAGCACACATCGGTCTAAGGAGAAGCTTAATCTTAGGGATAATCTTAAGGAGAAGACCCTCTTGTTCAGATTCTTCAAGCTTGTCCAGTCACACATTGCCGCATCGTCTTCTGGCGGTAAGGATGGGGAGGGCCAAGCCTCTGGTAAGATATCTGAGGAGGACTTGGACCTCCCCTTTATTGAATTCCTCAAGAAACAGCAGCTTCAACCCAAGATTAGAGCGTAAGAGCATGCTCAAGTGTTTTAGCGTATTCTATTTTTAATAGCAATTTGACTGATGTAGGTTTCTGTGTCTTATTTATAGGGTTGTGCTATATGCAATTGCCATGGCAGATTATGATCAAGATGCCGCAGACACATGCGAGAAATTGCTAACAACAAGAGATGGAATCAAGACCCTAGCTCTTTATTCCTCGTCCATTGGGAGGTCACTTTGCTCGCTTGAACCTTTTTCTGGTCCTCTTTTGAGAAGATATATCTTCTACTCCCTCCGTCCCAAAATAAGTGTCTCAACTTTGTACTAATTTTAGTACAAAGTTGTACTAAGGTTGAGACACTTATTTTGGGACGGAGGAAGTATGATGTATATACCTTTGTTAGTAATCTGTTTAGTTTTGTGTAGCTTTAGAGATAGTGTAACATGTGGTGATTTTATATGTGAATTGCTGTGGTCTAAATTTCTATATGTGCTCATGTTTTCTGCAACAGGTTTGCTAATGCCCAAGGTGCTTTCATTTATCCTATGTACGGGCATGGTGAGCTACTGCAAGCTTTCTGTCGCTTTGCTGCTGTTAAGGGTGCCCTATATGTAAGATGTTATTCTCAGCTATGCTATTTTTCTTTCTGATGAATCTTACATATACTATTACTAGAACGTGATGATATGGTATAGACTGCCCTTTGGTTGTACCCTGTTGCTTTGGCTTAATAATAATCGTGCAGCTATATGATCTTTCTGGCCCCATGATTTGTAAGCCTCTGTTGCAACCTAACTGGAACGTAGTGATGATGTGGTAGGCCAAGGGTTTAGCACCTCTCTACTGGAATGACCTGCCCTTTTAAACAAGAACATGGCCAATTATCCTGTAAAGTATTGTCTTTTTGTGTGACTCTCTTGATACTTAGACTCTGGTATATCTCTCTTCTGTCAATCAGGTGTTGCGGATGCCAGTCACAGCCCTCCTCGTGGACCAGGTATGATAAAATTTAAGCTCTATGCTGGACGTGTCTGTGCCAATGTTTGTCTGTCTGATATAGTCAATTGTACAATATAATCTTTCCTTTTTGTTGCTCAGTTTTTATATATTTTTGTTATGGATTTTACTGTCATCTTCAAATATGTACCAACAAATCGCAAATCGGCATAGGATTCCATGACACCCACTTGATCCAGCAAAGATGAGTAGAGAGAATTGGCAAAATTACCTGCTGCTGCTGCTAGAAAAGATGCAGTGTTACCATAATTAGGTTCTCCTGTACTATCATAGTCTGGAATAAGATAAAACAATCAGCAAAATTCAATTTTTTTGGCATCTTTAGATGGTGAAAATTTGTTGGCAACCACCAAGGTTATGCATCTCAGTCCTGAGCTCAACAAGAATAGTTCTGCGGAAGTGTTTGTCCAATCTGCAAATCGGTCAGGGAGAGCCTGATTCAAAGTAGATGCATGGGATATTTTTTTTTTCCACTCAGGATAAGAATGAGGTCACGGGTTCAAGTCCTGGAAACAGCCTCCTGCAGAAATGTAGGGAAAGGCTGCGTACAATAGACCCAAAGTGGCCGGACCCTCCCTGCGCAAGCGGGAGCTACATGCACCAGGCTGCCCTTTCAGGATAAGAATGATACTGACTCATTTTATATATTTGAACGCATTAGGTTGATTCCCAGAATCAGAAGATCAGCGATCATTTTCAGTGTTTATTTGCCTATGAGTGATGTCGCATGCTTTAGTTAGGGACCTGCACGATCAATTCTGTAATCTATGAATAGCACCCAACAATCAACATTCTCTTGATCAGGAAAAGAAGCGTTATATAGGCACCAGATTGGCTTCTGGTCAGGATATTTTGTGCCAGCAGTTGATACTTGGTCCCTCGTACAAAATTCCTTCATTGGACATGCCATCTGATGCTTCAGACTCAAACTTGACGAGAAAAGTTGCCAGGGGAGTATGCATAATCAGCAGCTCCATAAAAGAGGCTTCATCAAATGTTCTGGTTGTTTTCCCCCCAAAATGTAAGGACAGTTATTTCTCCTCTGTTAATGTTTGTATTGCTTGAATAAGTGATTTGCTTCTCATTTGTTTCCTTCATTTTAGCATTACAAGAGCAGCAAGCTACAGCTGTTCGGGCGCTTCAGCTGAGCAGCAATGTAGCAGTATGCCCTCCTGGAATGTAAGTTACGTATGCAGTGTTAGTGTTTACTTTTCTGCATCTGACATAGGAACAACTGCATTTGAAATTGTCACCATATAGGCAGGCAACTTTGCCTTACAAGCTGATCTCCACCTTGCAGGTTCATGGTATATCTGTCTACTCCCTGTACTGATGCCTTTACGGGAAAGCAGTACATAAACAAGGCAATGGAGGTTCTTTTCAGTACTCAGGCTTCAGATGATTCAGAAGGCCATTTGGAGACAACCAGCAAAAACATCGAGGATAGAAAGCCAGTGCTAATCTGGAGTTGTGTGTATGTTCAAGAGATCACACAGGTGCATTTGTTTGATCATTTTGAACACTAGTAAAGATATGTGCTGTTCAGATGTCATATATGTATTTGTATTAAGACATCCATTGTCCCATCTTCCACTATCAGGGAACATCTGGTGCTGTATTGTCATGCCCCATGCCGGATGAAAACCTGGACTACAGAGATATACTGGAATCGACAAAACAGGTATTGCGTACGTTATGTGTTGATAAATTTTATTCTCATTTCTGTACTTGCAGGAGATACAGGCCAGGATTCTGGCTCATTATGGAAGCTTCAGAACTGAACTGTACATGTCAATAGCGAGTGCTTTATTACGGTGTTTGCATTGAAGAAAGAGTAACTAGTGCTGGAGTGAATTCGTCTAGTTCTTGTTAATTACGTTGTGTCTGATGTAGGTTTGGAGATTAGCTCTTCATTTACTTGATAATGTCTCTAGCTCTGTCGAGCATAATGAGATGTGAACACAGAGAAGGCACATGCAACCATCTGTCCTTCATCTTATAAATTCCTTTCATTGTTTTTCTTGCAGTTATTTACAGATATTTATCCTGACGAAGAATTCCTGCCTAGAAACGCAACTCCTAAATATGCCGACGATGACTCTGATCTTGCAGAGTAGAAACATGTTTGCAGAGGTAATAACATCGCAGCATGTGGAACTTGTACCATTTTCTCATTTTATTGTTAGATGTGAAGATATCAAAATCATTACACATGGAGCTGTACATTTACTCATAGTTATCTCAGTGTGCTTGAAAATGTTATAACATTTACACATCGGACTTTGCACTGTTTGCTCATAACCTCAGTACATTTTGAAATGTGAACAACTGTGAATTTGCACGATCAAAACTTTTGAAACAGTTTTCTCCAGACCTGCTTGGATCCTGAATGAGAAAAGATGGGTTAACAAAAGAAATGCCAGGGAAGCTCCACTATCAAAATTTTTTATAGAACACCAAAATATGTTGCTGTTGAAGCATCTATTTAAATATTGGTCACATTCTCTCCGGAAAGTACATATGGTGCCAAATAACCCAAAATATCGAATAACAAAGAGTTAAGTATATCTCAATTTCGTTAGGAGAATGTATGGTGATAGATGATGTGACATGGCTTTCGTTTTGAAGTTCACGTGCTCTGGTAATTCCCAGTTTGGCTTGGTCAAGGTGCACCATTGGTTACAATGTTCTTGTGAACACTATCATACTGGCTCACCTTACAAAAGAAAGATCTTGTCCTGAGTAGGTTGTTATTTTCCGCAGGGTTAGTGTTTTTCTGGACAAATATTCCACAGAAGATACATGAAGGCATTTTAGATACATCGCACCAACATGGATGATCTGCTCAGTGAGCGAGACCACAGACAACGTTGATGGTTGTATGGCTTGTTGCAGTGCCTGTAGTTATTACTGCACAAGCTACATGTGGCGCCTTTCGTTTGTTGCACTGGTTCTTGCTACATGTGGCGCCTTTCATTTGTTGCACTGGTTCTTTGTACGAGTGAAACAGAGTAATGAAATTGAGTTTAAACTACTTGTCTGATGCATCCACGGAGTTTGTTACCATAACTATCCTTGGAGTCGAAACAAGGATAACTTCGAGGGCACCAGCCTTGTGTTGTGCGGGTGATGAGCTTGCTGTCGATGTATCGTCAGCGCATGTCGATCACTGCAATTGGTGCTGGGATCTTGTGGAGTGCACGACTTGTGCTGTCTGCTCCTCCCATAGCAGTCGCGACTTATGGTGTCTGGCGGAGGTGGAGGGCGGCATGTTGGTGGAGCGGGGCCTCCCCTTGGTATGTGTTTGTGTTGTTGGTGTCTGTTGCAGCGTTTGACATGTTGTCGACGGGAGTGGGGTTGGCCTTGTTGAGTTTTGATGTCTGGAGTGGGCTTTACCCTTGATAGATGTATTGGGCTTTGCTCGGTTTTCTGTAATTAACTGAGCAACAATCTTTTTAATTAATAGAACTGGTAAAGCTTTTGCCCGTGTTTAAAAAAAAGGCTTTCATATTTCGAAAGATCGCCCAACGGAACATTATAAAAGGCTGTACACCATAGGACATTGATCTCGTACCCTGCATAAATATCAACATAATGAAACAGTAAGATTTTGGCAGAAGAACATAAACGCTATGTATTTAATAAATTTGCTTCAAAACCAAACACGTTCCACACCCGTTTCATCTGGTTTTCATGGTGCATTATAGTATGCCATCTACCATCAAGTCCACATGGTATTTTGGTTTGGTATCTATAATCATCTAATTCACCATGCTTCCTAATTTGGAGCCCTCTCGTTCAGTTGAGATGTTCAATTTTGGATTTCGTTCATGATTTTGATAGGGTCAACTATTTCTTAACGAGCTTTCTCATTCACTTGAGGTACTATTCAATTTTTGATTTGATCCATGATCTTGGTTGGTCAAGATTTTTCAAATTAATCGGCAAAACCAACCTATAACAACACATTGGTCCTGTGCGCCCTCTCACCATCTAAACAAAGAAGCGCCGACATGTGACATTGTAGAATAGAAACAATATCAGTACATGTGGTTATCAAAGCAAAAAACCTTCCTCGCATAAGTATTGGTTGATTGATTAGCAGATAACACAAAATAACATCATCCAGAAAAGCCCACTAGAACACCACATTAAAAAGAAAGAAAACACACTTCAGCATGTTCTCCATGCGTTAAACCAATTTTGTGACCAGAAATTGAAATGAAATCCTCATTCGAGGCTATCTCTCAAGCTGGATCGATCTATAGGGGCTCCCATTTTTATAGTCGCTTCATCACCATAAAATAACAGTCTGGATCTTTTGCACCAGGATGCTTATTTTGTTTTGTTTGTTCCGTTATGTGAAACCTAATCCTTTTCTCGATCGTATGGATTTTTTTTTTTGAAATAGCAGCATGGATGCAGAAGCCGGGATCTTCGTGCTTTTTGAAATACAGAATAAATCCGAATAGATAAGCACAAATCATACCTACAGCTAATTGTTTTTATTTATTTGATGAGAAGACTGTCCTATTTAGATTTTTTTTGAAACGAGTCCTATTTAGAATTGCAGTTGCTTGATACTCGATCGTGTATTATAATTCCATTGCTTGATACTCGATCGTGTAGCAGTTAGCTAGTCAGAATCGTATATACAGTTAACTAGCATTGCCAGTGTCACGGAATTAGACCCATCGATCTCAAGTTCCCACCCTTGCGCATCGAGAGCTCAAGTCAAGTGCGCTGGGAGAGGAGTGCCAATGGCGGGGACGCCGCAGCTGGAGACCGGCGGCGGCGAGTACACGCAGGACGGCACGACGGACCTCTGCGGCAACCCGGTCATCCGATCCAACCGAGGAGGATGGAAAGCCTGCTCCTTCGTTCTTGGTAAGGAAGCTCCGCGTGCCCCTAAGCCCTAACCTTCATTTCGTTGCACGTAAGGTCGTAAGGAAGAAGAAGCCCGATATCCCTGGCCTGCAACGCCGAAGAAGCCATGGCTGACCAAGTGACCTGCAGTGTACGAGGTGTTCGAGCGGATGGCGCACTACGGCATCGCGTCCAACCTGGTGCTGTACCTGACGAGGGAGCTGCACCAGGGCACGGTGCGCTCCGCCAACAACGTCACCAACTGGGCCGGCACCAGCCTCATCACGCCCGTCCTCGGCGCCTACATCGCCGACGCCCACCTCGGACGCTACCGCACCTTCATGGCCGCCTCCGTCATCTACCTTCTCGTAAGCCCTTCCCTTCCTTCATACCTCAGCTGATCAGCTCGATCGCCGGCAAAAGCTGTCGCTGAAAATGAAAAAAAAAACTTGGCCAATGGATGATTGCGCAGGGAATGTGCCTGCTCACCATGGCCGTGTCGCTGCCGTCGCTGAAGCCGCCGGCGTGCGGCACCGGCACGGCGGACCCGAGCTGCGAGCGCAAGGCGTCGAGCCTGCAGTTGGGCGTGTTCTTTCTGGCCCTGTACACCCTCGCCGTCGGCACAGGCGGCACGAAGCCCAACATCTCCACCATCGGCGCCGACCAGTTCGACAAGCACGAGCCGAGGGAGCGCCGGCAGAAGCTCTCCTTCTTCAACTGGTGGATGTTCAGCATCTTTCTAGGCACGCTCTTCGCCAACACCGTCCTCGTCTACATCCAGGACAAGATCGGCTGGACCGTCGGCTACGCGCTCCCCACCATCGGCCTCGCCGTCTCCATCGCCGTGTTCACCGCCGGAACACCCCTGTACCGCCACAAGCCGACCTCACCCGAGAGCTCCCTCGCCAAGATGGCCGGGGTCATCGTCAACGCCGTCCGCAAGTGCCGCGTCACGGCGCCCGCGGACCCGCGCGACCTGCACGAACTCGACCCCGACCAATACGACAGGAAAAAGTCGTCCCCGCTGCCCCACACGCCGAATTTCAGTGTGCTGAGCAAAGCGGCGGTGAGGACCGGGGCCGGGAGCACGTCGCGGTGGTCGCTGAGCACGGTGACGCAGGTGGAGGAGACGAAGCAGATGCTCAAGATGCTTCCCGTGCTGTTCATCACGTTCGTGCCGAGCGCGATGCTGGCCCAGATCAACACGCTGTTCGTGAAGCAGGGCACGACGCTGGAGCGGCGCGTCGGCGACTTCGACATCCCGCCGGCGAGCCTGCAGGGGTTCGTGACCGTCTCCATGCTCGTCTCCGTCGTGCTCTACGACCGCCTGTTCGTGCCCTGCATGCGGCGCTTGACAAAGAACCCGCGGGGCATCTCGCTGCTCCAGCGGATGGGCGCCGGGCTCGTCCTCCACATCGCGATCATGGTGATCGCGTCGGCGACCGAGCGGCGGCGCCTGGCCGTGGCGCGCGAGAACGGTGTGCTCGACAGCAGGGGCACGATGGTCCCGCTCTCCATCTTCGTGCTGCTCCCGCAGTTCGTGCTCATGGGCGTCGCTGACGCCTTCCTGGAGGTGGCCAAGATCGAGTTCTTCTACGACCAAGCGCCAGAGGGGATGAAGAGCCTCGGCACATCCTACGCCATGACCAGCCTCGGCGTCGGCAACTTTCTCAGCAGCTTCCTGCTGTCGACGGTGTCGCGCGTCACGCGGCGGCGCGGAGGAGGACATGGAGGCTGGATCCAGAACAACCTCAACGCCTCGCGGTTGGACCTCTACTACGCCTTCTTCGCCGTGCTCAACTGCGCCAACCTCCTCGTCTTCTTCGCCGTGTGCCGGATGTACGTGTACAACGCCGACATCGCTGACGGTAGCAAGGAGAAGCAGGGGAGGCCAGGAATGGTGAAGGAGCCAATCGTATAGTCTCCTGGGAATTAGCACATACCCAAAACCCAAAATAACATTTTCACATAAAAAAATCAGTTGCAGAAACTAAATACAGTTGCACCAAAATAAATGGGCAATTGCACAAAAAAAGAGAGAGCATGCCAATGGATCTTAGGCTGGTCATAGTGGGGAGTAACTTAGACTAGTAACATACATACTCCCTCCTTTCCGGTTTATAAGGCTTATCTCAAAATTCTAGTTTTTTCATTTTATAAGGCTTAATTTGGTTGTTCCCCATCACATGTTTAGATTCCAAGGGGCATTAAATCATTGCATGCAAGTATTAAGAGAAAATTGACCAATGCATGTACTTTATGCATGCATGCATTGCAATTAATGCATTGATAAACATAATTTGTTGAGGAAAATAAGAGCATTAAT